TAGTGCAGGGACTGGGCTGTTAGGCTGGTTTGACCCAGTGCAGGAGCTGGAAAGCCGGAGGGCAGTGTTGGGCCATAAGTCAGCGTGATGCTGTTTCTCTGTAGTAAATTCACTATTACCTGCCGCAAAAGTCTTGAATGCAAAGGCCAATACTTAATAAAAGGCAAACCGATCCTGTCTCAATCAGTGCATCGCATACAGTTTCTCGTAGACTGCAGAAGACTGTCCAGCTTGCCTCACATAAGCTTCACGATCGGACACCACGAGTACAAGCTGACAGCAGAGCAATACATCGTAAAGGTGCGTATCCCTGGGCTCCCCGCTTCCCTGACCCCGCTCCCCGAGCCGGAGCTGGAGCAGGCAGCTGCAAGGACACGTGCTTTCCCTTCCAGGAGTCTACTGAAGACCAAACCTTCTGCATGAGCGGCTTTCAGTCTCTCGACATCACCACTCGCACTGGCCCGCTCTGGATTTTAGGAGATGTCTTTATGTCTGCGTTTTACTGCATTTTTGACCGTGGGAATGACAGAGTGGGATTTGCAAAAGCTGTTCATAGGAAGGATTACTACTGAGTTGTAATAGCATTTATACTGCCTTAAAAAGAATGTTAATGTAATGATCTTCAACTCACGGGCGAAGAAGGGCTTTAACTGAAACTCTGGACCTAAATGCAGTCGTGTTTGGGCTTTGGGGTGATCCTTGTCCCAAATCATGTAGTTTGGTTCAATCTCTATGTTTACAACTGAGAAACAATTTTTCCTGAATAACTGATGGACACCACAGCTCTCAGGATGAAGTGAAAACAGCTCAGCACTAAGATTTGCAAAAGAGCTGGAAGGATAAAAATGCTGAACAGTGCCAGGCTGACAAGATAGCAGTTACAAGTGGGGGAAACTAATCCCGGTCTGATCTGCTCTGGGTACCCTTTTTTCTGCTTGTGTGCTAGTTTCCACCTCATTTCCTACTGCTTTCCTTTTCCTCACTACTTTCCACAGTTGGGGTTTTGTCCAACCTTGTTTCCTCAGTGCCACGTAAATTCTCTTTATATGGGCTTGCTCCAACCAGTTTATATAAAGGGGAATTTGACTGATGCCTGTGTGGCCACTAATTTCCACTACTGTTCCTTGCACACTTGCTCCTTATGCCATCTCTCAAACCTGCTTTTTCCCTTGGGTTCATTCTCGCTTGACATTTTTTTCCTCTTTTGGATCTCGGTGTTTAGTGTCCATGTCTTAGGTCAGGTGCTACTTTTAGCGCCTGACACCTCTGCCCCTTGGCAGTGCGGGCAGCTGGGAGCAGCACCTATTCACATTACAAAAACCAGACCGCAACCTTTGCGAAGGGTGCTGCAAAAGGATACCGCGGCGTCCCTCCACCTCAGATGAGTTACGAGACCAATGCACCAGCACTAGACAACTACTGCCCCTTCCTCAGTCACTTCTTGTCAGCAGCGGCAGCAGCTTCAGTGCTGGCAGAGGTGTGAAAGAGCCACAGGTAGCTGCGCTGATTTAGCAACAGAAGATTCACCTAAATTATACCCATTGGAGTATTTGTTTGGATTGCTAAAGCTGATACTGCCCCTGTACACGTGAATAAAACTTAACCAAGCAAAATCTGCTTTGGACTTAGCGCTGTTTCAGTTTCATTTTATATTTTATTTTCTTACAGCAGTTTCTCTGCGGTGAGGCCGGAGAGGAGGGGGAGGAGAGGGTGCAACAGCGATTGAAAATCCAGGTTGCTCTGCAGCCTGGAGGGGAGAGATGGGACGTGTCAGGGTGTTGGGGCTGCTTGTGTCTCCCTAAAGCCGAAAAATGTCTGCAGCCCCAGCCCTGGGCACCTCCCAGGCAGGGCAGGGCCGAGAGGAGCTGGAGACCGGCCCCGCTGCGGCATCGCTGGGGCAGGGGCTGGCGGCCGCGAGGGACTTGCTACTGCCGCCTGTCTGGATGTGCTTAACACAGACCAAACGCAACATCCATTACTGGCCTTGGCAGCATTACGATCATGGCCCCTTAGATTTTCAGGCTTCAGTTGTAAGACTCAATAAGTATTACTAAAGTGAGACGATTTGCCTGTAGGTATCTCTGAAATACTGATCTCGCCTGCCAGTATGAAATACTCCCTCGCTCTAGTGCACATTTTCCCAACTCTCTATTTGCAGCCACATTGTGTTACACATTTGGCATCTAAGGCTAAACCTCTACAACGGGGACTCTGCTGCCAGTTGTCTCTTTTTGCAGATGAGATTGAGCTGTACGAAGTTACCATGTATTTCAGGTCAATCTTGCCTTGTTTCCCCTTTGTCCCTATCTCTCTTAAAGAACAAAGTGACCATGAGCTAACTTATTTGTCTAGAAAATGTCATTTGTTTGGTCATAAACCAAGACAAACAAACATAAAGCCCTATCACTCATTTAACAGCAGCGGGGTATTTTTGTTTTCTCTACTATGCAGCAGACTTAACACTCTGGTACATTTCCGTTATTTCTAAAATACACATATATTGCTCAAACTTGAGCTTGCAGTCAGAGTTAGAGATCTGTTATTTATGATTATTAGGATTTTAAGGGTGGTGGGATGCGTCCCTACACCCGGTTAGTCCCCGAACTGGCATCTTGGCTCTATGAACTCCAGTGCAGAGCGTGAACACATCCTAGAAATAGGTGGAAATTCAGGCAGTGCGTGCAGGGACCGGCCCTCTCTTTGTTCTGATATATCTCATCCTGCTCAAGATTAACACCATTTGATGGGTGCTGCTCTGACCTATTTGTCTATCCTAGCCCTATTCTTTCCTCAGTCTTTTCCAGCTTTGCCAGCTTCTGTAGGTCTGCCTTGTCGTTCCTGGCAGACATCAAGTTGACTTGTGTGGTAGGTCGAACCTTTGCCAGAAGTGCTTCTTGACAGTTCAGTACAGTCAAGACGACTGTGTTTCTCAAAATGCCTTTATTCATGCAATAATTTGACATTGTTTATACTGGTGAACATGAATTGTAAACTTTTGGGTTTGCTAAAATAGTCAATTTACAGTGCTAAGGCAAATAGTTTACCGAGAGACGTGCCCAAGAGAGCACATAATCCCAAAAGATAATTTAATACAAATCAGAGCCCGCAGATGTTGGCAAAAGTGAGATAACAGACTAAATGAGAAGAGAAAATTTTTCTGATAACTCATCCCAGCACTAGTTTCTTTACAAGCAATGAACAGAATATATAGCTAACCTGGAGCTGGCCCGCTATGTGTGAAATGCTATTTGTGTATTGCAGATTACATTGTGGGACTTCAGAGCTGTCATTCCTAATTTAACATGTGTCTAACTTGCGTAGACAAGTAGTAGTAGACAATAGTAGACAAGTCCCACCTCTGTGGGACTTAACTGAAGCTTTTATCTACCTAATGGCTACTGTGTGGCCACCCTTAGCCTCCATCGAAGAATGAACACAGTTGCTGGGCCAGGGAGTGCTGGCAGAGTGAGTGGGAGAGGTAATAAAATTATTGCCCATGAGATGCATAATGTCCTGGTGGAAAGCACCAGTGTGCATCCTAGGTAGCGGCCAGGCTGAGAAGAAGGTGATGGAAGATGAGCAGAGCTGGATGATGAGAAGCTGGGAAGGCTTCTTCAGGCTTAGCAGTGCTGGGATGAAATGTGCTGATGTCGGTTGGGGAGGATGAGCACTTGGCTCCAACACCTTAAGCCCTGGTGGAAGCTGTGTGAAGGAGGATAGTGAGGAAGTGTGATGGTACCGGACCCTCAGTGTGGATTTGTAGTGGGCACTTTACAGTCATCTCTAATTTCTGGTTTAAATTCCCTTACAGGGAGAAGCACAGTTCCTCAAGCTTATGTACTGTGAGAAGAGAGCAAGATAATAGGCCAGACTTTCTCCATAGCTGCTGAAAACCCTTCCTATACATGTGCAGCTGGGAGGAGTACGGCCAAACTCCCCCGAAACCTGTAGTGCTCTCCTGTCTTTAAAAAAGCACTATGGAGGAGTGCTTCAGGCTCCCAAGGAGACCAGCAGTTACTTTATCTTTGGGCCTAGCTGTGTGACTGGAGCTGTCTGGGTATCCTTAAACTTCTCATTTATACTATAAATTTGCCATTTGTTAAAGTTAAGCTCATTGGTAAATGGAGTTCCTTGACAGTCGCAGATGCAACTAAATTGAGAAAATATTGAATTGAAAAGTGTGGCTTCAGCTAAAAGAAGAAATAGGGAATAGGGAAGAAAGAGGAAATGCTGGAAGAAAATCTTTTTTTCTATGTTGATGTAGGGAAGGGGAAACTATGTGTTTCCAGCATTGTCACAGGCCAAGAGAGTCCTCTTCTCCAGGGACAGTCAGCAGTCTGGGGCTCTGATGACTGAAAAGCTAGAAGATGCTGCCAGAAGCTGGGTATTGCCTAGTAAGGGCCATCCAGAAAATAGGACTGCTAGGCTAAGGTGCTGTTTATTTCAATATAATTTCACTTTGTCGGGGTCTTCACTGTGTTGGTCAAACCTGAACATAGCAACTTGATTTGCCTGAGGACTTGTGAAGTGGCAAGGGTGAGGTTGCACCAGAACGCCTTACTCCAAAACTGTGATCAAACCTCACTACTCAGCTGCTGTCAGACACCAGCGTCACCTCATCTCACAGTGTGAAGAAGTGCCTTGGTAGGTGCCTGGGAAATCTGCGCTTGGCTTTTCTGCATACCTGAAATTCCCATAGTATGAGTTTAAACAGCTCTTCCTTGGGCTTAAGTGTCCTCTGCTTCCTAAACTGATGGGGATACATGAGCTTTTGTCTAGTGTCTTTGAAGGATTTGAAAGAGTGGCACTGCTCAGATCATGTCTAATGCACACCAACAGGAGCCAGTTCCCAGACTGAAACAAAGCTGGAAGAAGTAGAAGTGGGGAGGGCGGTTGATTTTTTTCCAAAGCCTACCCACATGAGATAGCAGAGTCCTGCTGTATGTAATAGCCTACTGGAAGGGCTCCTCACCTAAGCTGTTGGCCAGAGGAGCAGGAGCAGGCAGGTCCATTCGTTTCCTTCCCAGCTTCAGGGGGCCCTGAAGACTCCCAGGAGCCACTGGTGCTACCAGTTACCCTGGCAGAGATGCTGGTTTGTTGTTTGAAGTGCAACCTTCTGAGCAAGAGAGCTGGGTGGACTTGCTGTCCATACAGCCCACACCGCTTGCTGGCTGTTGCAGCCCCATCATTTTCTGTGTCTCCCCCTCTCCCTGTTCTTCCCAGCCCCTGAGCTACCTGGTCTCTCCCTTGTCTAAGGAGATCATCTGCTTGGATACTCACTCGTGGGGGGAAGCCAGCATCACGCTCTGGACTGCATTCATGTAGATGTGGGTGAGAGCTAAAACCAAAGAGCTGCCGCTGCTTTCAGGGCCTGCTTTGAGACTTCTTGCAGGAGCGGCAGCTGAAAGGCCAGGTTGCTACCAGGTGTAGGGAGGTGGCTTGGCTACCCCTGGAACTTCAGGAGCCACTTGATGCTGGCTCGGGTTTGGGTTAATGGAGAATGTGTGTGGTACGTCTGGGCAGCATGGGAACGGGAGAGGGGGGAAGGAAGCAGAGAGTAATTTTTGCTAGCAGTCCCGGGCCATTTGGTTGTCTCCCTGGGATGACTGCAGTCTGCGTGCTTCCAGCTGAAGATCTCTGCAAGAGTGGAGCTCTAAGCTCAGTTGCCCCTGCAGCTCCATCACCTCTTGACAGAGTGCCACAGCCCTTTCATCACTAGGGAGGCCACCTGGGAATGGCGTTTTGCAATAAACAGCCACTAGGTACGCCACATACATGCTCCAAGGAGCAGAGACCAAGGCTCAGACCTCCCATGCCTAGCTCATCAGCAGTTTTGCCTCTTCCATTTTTCTTAATGAGGTTAAATATTCAATCCTTTTATTTTTCCACTCTGTAGTGGCATAACTTCAGCAGAAGTGAGGCAGGCTCTTGCCCCACACAAGTGAGGAGCCTGATTTTTCAAGCGTTCCTGCAGGCAATGAGAGATGGTAGGCTGAATCTCTCCAGGCTGAGAAGGGAATTGAGCTCACACCTCCCCTTCTGGCCACTTGAGTAGAAACCAAAACTGTTGGTGGGTCTTGCGAGGATATAATGGATCTTAATCTGAAGGAGCAGCCAAAGGTAGCAGTGTTTAAGGTGGATCCAAAGTGGACAGAGCCACCTCGGCTCTTCTGATAACCTTAGTGTTTCCTCTAGGTGAGCCTACACAGCTCGCTGCCATGTGCACTGGCTGGTTTGCATCCACTCCTGAGGCTCCCAGTTCTCCCCATAAATGCTTTCCCCATAGGGTCACAGATTTCAAGCCAGCGACCAAGTGGCTTAAAGCATGTCACCACAGTGCCTCCTATTTAGGTGCCCGAATCCTCTGTTGGATCTTGCTCAGGACTTGTCTAAGCATCATGTCTGCCTTTCTGCACTTTCAGCAAATCTGTGTGAGAGCCACTTTCAAGAGAAGACAGAAAGTTCAGTCAGACCCAGGGGAAGCACAGTCAAAGTTTTCTTTCACTTTTCTCATTAGAAAATTCTACTATGTCTGTTTCTTTAGTATCCAGGTTTTCCCATAAGTGCTGCATCTCAAACGCCTCTGGAGCAGCAGCAGAAATAACATTTTTTCCATCACTGAAGGACCTTTGTTGTGAAGTTGTCCCAGAATCTGCTAAAGGCGGTGCAACGTTGGCATTTGACACTGTACTATGACTATGGAAGCTCGGTAGACTCCATCGCTGAAGGTTTCTCTCATAATCTGTTATGAAACCGGCTATGTTACTACCGTGGAGTTCATGTTTGGGCTTCCCTATCACAGTAGGAAGTGACTGATGCACCTCAGAGCCTGGGAGGTATGTAGTCGTTTCTGGGGGAAAAAAAGGAGAGTCCAGAAGAGTCACATTTGCCTCAGTTAGGCTTCTTTGGAGCTTCTCTTCTGGCACGCTTGCGGGGCGCTCTGTTTGCAGATCTGGTTTGCCCAGCACATCCGGTGCTTTCTCCTCAGCTTCAGAGATGATGACCTCAGGAACTGGCTTGTTTGTCTCAGATGAGGTGTCACTGTCCCCAAAAAGTGCCTCATTCCTTGTGGTTTCAGTTATGGGTCCTAGATCTCTGCTACTATGAAGTCTGTTATTTCTGTCTACTCCTTCATGTTTCTTCTTGAAGCTTGAGGTAGAGTGTCTCCCTCTTGTGTGCATTTCTTGCAACCGTCTGATGTGACCCTTTTCATCTGCTGGGAAAAACACCGAATTCTCACTTGTTTGCCGACTGTAGCGCCGGTGAGCTGGGGATGAAGGGCCCTCATGGACGCTGAGAAATCTCTTGACCCTTCTCAGCACTGAATGTTGCCTTCGGTGTTTCTCCTCTTCCCAGGGCCACTCTTCCCCATAGAGGAATTCGGTATCAGCCAGCCTGCCAAATAAAGCCAGGTAGTAGGTGTCACTTACATATAGGAAGTGTGCGTTCTACATGTATGTATATCCCGCTGCATCAGCAAGAAGACATAGGCACCAAGGCCCTAGTGTGTCCCCAAGGAAGAGCATGGAAGGGTTGAAAAAGAGGTGAGGGCGCCAGGAAATAGTGCTTGTGCCTTTGGACCAGACAGATCACCTGGAAAGCTCTCCATGTCCAGATGTCTCTTCTCCTGAGGACCAGGCTGGGAGGACATCCAGCCAGGCACCTGACCCCGTTTCATATTTGGGCTGCAGCCCCCTGTGGCAGCTCCACATGGTTAGGCTTATGCTTAGGGCGAGGGAAAGA